GTGTGTGTGTGTGTGTGTGTGTGTGTGTGTGCGCCAGATCAATGTAACTTCCTGAAAAGACGCTCAAACAACAGGAGATCAACCAATAAGGAGATAAAAACACAAAATAGCGCTCTCTCTCTCTGAAGTCAGGAGGGGCACCTGCATGGGTCTCTCTCTCTCTCTCTCTCTCTCTCTCTCTCTCTCTCTCTCTCTCTCTCTCTCTCTCGCGCGCGCGCGCGCGCGCGCGCATGGCCCCGTCATGCGTTTGCGTTCCACTCACGTTTGTACCTCCGCCCGTGGCACTCCATTCTCCCCTCAGTCTCAGGTAAGCTCTCTCTCTCTCTCTCTCTCTCTCTCTCTCTCTCTCTCTCTCTCGTGCGCGCGCGCGCATGGCCCCGTCATGCGTTTGTGCCTCTGCCCGTTCCACTCACGTTTGTACCTCCGCCCGTGGCACTCCATTCTCCCCTCAGTCTCAGGTCAACTCTCTCTCTCTCTCTCTCTGTCTCGCGCGCGCACGCGCATGGCCCCATCATGTGTTTGCGCCTCTGCCCGTTCCACTCACGTTTGTACCTCCGCCCGTGGCACTCCATTTTCCTCCCTCTCTCTCTCTCTCTCTCAAGCGAGAACGTGCATGTCCCCGTCATGGTTTTGCGCCTCTGGCCGTTCCACTCACGTTTGTACCATCCGTGGCACTCCATTTCCCCCTCAGTCTCAGGTCAGCTCTCTCTCTCTCTCCCCGCCCAGTTTGCATCTGGTCCCTAATGCCTCTGTAGTCTGCCTGTCCAACTCCACTCCCCCCCTCCCTCTCAAGTCCGTACTCCCTCTCCTCATGTACAACTCTCTCTCTCTCTCTCTCTCTCCCCGCCCAGTTTTGCATCTGGTTCCCTAATGCCTCTGTAGCCTGTCTGTCCAACTCCATTCCAATTCCGTACTTTGCGCAATGCTTTATGAGGCCCAGTAGAAGGGGGCACTTTATGGATAACATCCACAATCATTTCAAAGACTTGGCTTATGATGTATCTTCTTCCAAACTCAGCACTGACCAATGTTGAGTTTCGTAAGTTGAACGACTTTGTGTATTTTAACTTCATTTTGGGGAGGGCATACATGTAGTTTCTTTTGCCTCTTGTATTTACAAAGTCTGAGCTGCGGGCCTGCTGAGGCGCCGCTATAAACCCTGCTGTGTGACACTCCCCCAATTGAGCAGGCTGAGCGATTGAAGAAGACATCGGGCGCAGAGTACTCACCGCTCTGCACAGGATCTGGATGACGAATAGGCATGTGTTGACGGGAAGAATCTAGGGAAGGGCAAATCTTGCCAATGCAGGAAAGGAGGCCTTCCAACTGGCCCGGTCCTGCAAAAGCAGTCAACCTCTGCATAGAAAGGAACACAGACAGAAAGTTCACTTCACAAAGTTAGAGTAGCTGTAAATTAACAATTTAAGATAATAATACAACAATTTAATATTTATTTATAATAACGATAAGAAGTTTTTTATTAGATCTTATAGCATGTAAACATTGTGGATTCTTCTTGCTTTTCGATTTTTTATAAAAATCCAGAATAAACAGTTCCTATTACGTCCTAATATGTTAATGAAGAAATCTGAAATAGTAAAAGCAGGAGAAGTTCGTACAAGTAAAGGAGATTTATACTAAATCAGATAAGTAAAACTTGGGTTCAGGCAAAGTGGTATAGCAATTCGGTTCGATGATAATGCATCAGCAATTATAATTCAAGTCTTCCAAGATGGAAATCCAAAAGGAACACACGTTTTTGGACCTGTAGCTAGAGTTAACTGCATAAATGAAACAATCACAGACAAAAAAAGTGAAACGAAATGAATATTAACGCACAATAGATGCACACCAAACATACTGATATCAGAACACAGTTGCATTACCACTCATACTGCTGCGAACTCACCACCAATTAGAACACTAAACCGAGAGAGGGAACCAGGATCAGCCTGGGAATCCAGAGCAGTTTGGGAGGCAGAAACTGTTCTACAATGTCGAAACAGTTTGGGAGCCAGAAACTGTTCCTAGGAAGCAGAAACAGTTTAGGAACCAGGACCAGTCTGGGAACAGTTTAGGAACCAGGAACAGACTGGGAACAGTTTAGGTAGGAACCCGGAACAGTTTGGGAACAGTTTAGGAACCAGGAACAGTCTGGGAACAATTTAGGAACCAGGAACAGTCTGGGAACAGTTTAGGAACCAGGAACAGTCTGGGAACAGTTTAGGAACCAGGAACAGTCCGGGAACAGTTTAGGAACCAGGAACAGTCTGAGATCCAGGGACAGTCTGGGAACCAGGAAGCAAAAACAGATTAGGAACCAGGTAGAACACCATACCGACGTGGCAGAAACATCAAATTGACCTCATAACTGAGTGAGGACGCCGCCCGGCCGGGCTCAGTCCGGCCGGTCGGGCCCGGGGGGGCCGCCCGGGTAAACCGGGCGGGCAAAAAAACCACCCAGAAATTTTTATTTTTATTTTTGGAAAACGGGGTCGTTCTGCGCTGGGGTGCTCTGCATGTTTGCTCTGATGTCTGCTGCATGCATGCTATGAACTTATCGAAGGGATGGATGGATGGGAGGATGGAGAAAGGGTGGGAGGGAGTAGGGAAGGAAGAAGAGGAGAGAAGAAGACCTAACCAATGGAAAAGAAGAAGAAGAAGAAGAAGAAGAAGAAGAAGAAGCAGAAGAGGGTGAGGAGGGTAAGAAGAAGAAGTTGAGAGGACGACGAGAAGAGGAGGAGGAGAAGAAGAAGATAAGCGAAGAAGGAGGGGGAGATGGACGGCCTTTTTTTTTGTTTTTTTTAACCTGTCCTGTATCATGTGACCTACCGAATGTCAACGAACTGAAAGAAGAAGAAGAAGAAGAAGAAGAAGGAGAAGAAGAAGAAGATGATGAGGAGAAAGGAAACGAGAAGAAGAAGAAGAAGAAGAAGAAGAAGAAGAAGAAGAAGAAGAAGAAGAAGAAGAAGAAGAAGATGGGAAAGAAGATGGGGAAGAAATACGGCTGCGGTAGGGTGTGGCAGCGGGGTGTGGCGGCAGGGTATGGCGGCGGTAGGGTATGGCGGCGGTAGGGTATGGCGGCGGTAGGGTATGGCAGCGCTGGTATCGGCGGTAGGGTATGGCAGCGGTAACGTATGGCAGCACTGGTATCTCGATAGGGTATGCCGGCGGCGGGGTATGGCCGTGCGTTATGGCGACGAAGGACGGGAAGAAGAAGAAGAGGAGAGAAGAAGACCTAGCGAATGGAGAAGAAGAAGAAGAACAAGAACAAGAAGAAGAAGAAGAAGAAGAAGAAGAAGAAGAGGAAGAAGAAGAAGAAGAAGAAGAGGAAGAGGAGAGGTGAGGAGGGGAAGAAGAAGAAGATCAAGAAAGGTCGGGGAGAAAGATGAAAACCCGAGGGGGAGGAGGGTAAGAAGAAGAAGACGAGAGGACGACGAGAAGAGGAGGAGGAGAAGATGAAGATAAGCGGAGAAGGAGGGGGAGAAGGACGGCCGTTGTTTTTTTTCTTTTTTTTTCACCTGTCGTGTCTCACGTGACCGGCCGAATGTCGACGAACTGAAAGAAGAAGAAGAAGAAGGAGAAGGAGAAGACGAAGGAGAAGAAGAAGAAGAAGAAGAAGAAGAAGAAGAAGAAGAAGAAGAAGAAGAAGAAGAGGAGAAAGAAAATGAGTGGGGGACGAGGGGAAGACGAAGGGAAGACGAAGAAGACGAGAGGAGGAGGAGGAGGAGAGAAGAAGAAGAAGAAGAAGAAGAAGAAGAAGAAGAAGAAGAAGTCGTTACCTGCAACAGTTCCCTAGCAGCAGGTCCTTCATCTGCCCGTCCAACACAACCCTAAACGATCACGACAGGAAGAAGAAGAAGAAGGAGAAGAAGAAGGAGAAGAAGAAGAAGAAGAAGACGAACGGCGCCTTCGTCGTCAGGGTCTTCGTTGTAGCAGCAGCAGCAAGGCAGTCGGGGCCTTCGTCGTAGCAGGAGCAGCAGGACAGTCGGGCCCGTCGTCGTAGCAGCAGCAGCAGACAGTCGGCACCTTCGTCGTAGCAGCTGCAGCAGTAATTCTCGATGGCGATGTCCACGGGCGACGGGCGACGGGCGACGGGCGACGGGCGGCCGCGCAGCAGGACGGCGCAGGAGGAACTTCGATCGTGCTGGGGGGGGGGCGAGTGGCAGACACCCCAGCCGATCCCATGTTTGAAAGCGGGGATGTTTGGCACCTAGATCAAACAGCTCAGTGGACGTTGATCATGGCGGATCGATGGCCAGATAGCAGTCAGAAAGTTTTTCAAAATCCCGCAGGCCTACCAGGCCCCGACGGGTCGGTTTTTCGGGCCGGTCGGACCCAGTAGGCCTGCGGGAGGCCAAAAGCAGCGAAACGGGGGTCTGAAACCCCCGAACAGGTCATTGCGCTGGGGGCGCCCGGCCCCCAACCGGGTGCCCTGCTCGGCCAGGCCGCCCGGGACCTCCCCCGGGCCTCCTCCCGTCAGCCGGGCGGCCCGGATTATTGGCCGTTGATTCAACAAAAGATGCCAGATAGCATCTCGTTGATCAGATCTCTGCCAACTATAGCAGGAGAGGACTTTTGCAGGAACCTTTGTAGCCTCAATCAAGCCCCAAGGGACCAGAGTTGGCACAGAGAGTCAGGAAAATTGTTTGGTAAACTATATGCGTTCGAGTTTTGAGGCAGCATAAAAAAACGAACTTGAGCTCTCTGGCAGGTATGCCCGTAATTTCACAGCCGCAGATGGATAGACAAGGCCAATGACAAAGCTGTTACAAAGAGGAGGAGAAGAAGGTGCGTTGTCAGGTTCGGCATACACAACTCCACTGTGTGTGTTGTGTAAATTGTCACCACTACAGCCTCTTTCCCACCCAGACGAGTAGATCCAAAACTGAAGCAGTTTTCTACAGCAGACAATGCACAGAGAGAGAGAGAGGGGGGGGGGGGGGGGGG